CCACCATCCTGTACAGGTCAATTCTATCTTCAACCAATGTTCAACCAGGTTATACGTGTGTTCTAGTATCAATAATCAATTAATAATCAGTTCAATAATCAATATTAAAGCAATCTATAACAATCATATCAATAATCATAAGCATATCAATCTAATCTATCAATTCCAAGCAAATCAGAAAATCTACGAAAATCGGGCAGCGTAATGGCAGTCTATCAAATTTACACAAAAATCCTGCAAAAAGCACAAATTCCAAATTTCTCCAAATTACAGCAGAATATCCACGACATCAATACAAGACTATTATTCTATAGAATCCAAATCAAATCAAGTCCTGATATTTTTCTATTCGATTAAAATCACGTAGAATCAATTCCGACCGGTAAAATCGTCGTAGAAAATACTTAAATCGTGTACAATAGTCATATCTATAACATACTAAAAGTTGTGCGGTGAAAGTTGTGTCAATACAAAACCGGGTCAAAAGTTCGACTACGAAAACACAAAACAATGCACAACTCGGTCAAAACACAATATCTCTGAAAACAGAAATAGGATTCGGAGTCCTTACCACGAGATCTACACTTTCTCCAACAGCGGCGTCGGACGAAAAGCGCTCTGCGGCCTCCAAAACCCAGCTTTTCCTCTTTTTCCTTTCTCTTTCTCTCTCCTCAAAATATCTGTTTTTATAAAAACGATTTTCTCTCTCCTCAAAACGAGCTGATTTTCTTATATCATTAGGCTGATCGGCCCGGCCGATCGCAAAATCGTCCCGGGACGATCAGACCAAAATCGATCGTCTTGGACGGTTTCCAGAACTAGTTTCAGGACGATATTTTGAACAGTACAGATCGGCCTGGACGATCTCACTATCGTCCCGGACGATCCTGGGAGGAAAATCCAAGCTAGAGAGGAACAGTAAGGGAACGAGGTCTCACAATTATCTCCTCGTATATTTAATCCTCCGCTCACGACATCCCTCAACAACACCATTCATTCTTCAAGAATTCAAACACCTATTCACCATATGCAAACTTGTTCAGAAACAATACATCTTAAACCCAAAACCATCTCTAATCTCCTTCATTAAAATGAGTCTACTGATCCCACTACCTATGCTGATGCCAGTAAATTCAAACACTGGTATAAGGCCATGTCCGAAGAGTTCCAATCTTTCTAATCTCAAGATACTTGGGAACTTGTTCCACCTCACCCCTCTCAAAATATTCTTGGTTGTCTTTGGATATTTTACACAAAATTCTTATTTGATGGTACTATCGATTAGTATAGATCTTGCCTTGTTGCCCAAGGGTTTAACCAGGAATATGACATTTATTATACTGACACGTTTAGCCCCATTGCCAAAATACCCACTGTTCGTGTACTTCTTGTTATATCTCTTCATCACAACGAGCTCATTCACCAATTCAATGTCTCTAATACCTTTCTTCATGGTCAACTTTCCCATTATGTTTACATAAAATAACCTCCAGGGTTTCTTGATACTCTTCATAGAAATTATGTCTGTCGACTAAGAAAGGCTCTATACGGTCTAAAAAAATCACCTCGCCAATGGTTTCCCACTTTATCTGTTTATCTTCAAACTCTCGGATTCAAGTTTAGCTCTTTTAATTCTTCTCTCCTCATATATAACAAGTCCAGTGTTTCTCTTTACATTCTAGTTTACGTGACGACATTCTCCTCACTAGAAATTCCACAATGGCTATCAACGATCTTCTTCATAATCTGAAAACTAAATTCAAAATGTGCAACCTTGGATCCATCTCAAAATTTCTTGGAATTTAGGTGGTCCATACCTCTTATGGTCTCCATCTAAATCAAACAAATTTTGCTAAAACCATTCTTTCCAAAGCTAGCATGATCACCTCTAAACCCGTCTCTATGCCATCTCAACTCAAAACCCCTTCCACCACTGGTAACTCATCTACCTTTTTCAATCCGACATTTTTTTGTGAAATAACAGGCTTGCTATAATATCTAACTCTCACCAGATCTGACATCTCGTTTACTGTCAACAAAATCTGCCAAAATATGGAAAACCCTCAAATTAGTCACATTGAAGCACTCTAACGCCTTATACGATACATTCAAGGAATGCTTAATATAGGTTTACTACTCTTTCATGACTCTCTTTTTCATAGATCCTATGCAGATTATGAATGAGCCGGTGATTAGACTGATCGAAAATCTATATCTGGCTAATGTAACTACATTGAATCCCCACTAATTTTATGGAGCGTCAAGAAACAAAATGCGTTCGTCAAATCCTTCACCGAGGTTGACTATCGAGCTCTTGCTGCAGCTGCTACCGAAGTCATCTGGCAATGTCGCTTACTCCAAGACTTCAACTGCTCTCCTACGGCCTCCACTCCTTTATATTGTGACAATACGTTTGTCATTGCCTTAGCAAACAACCCGGTCTTTCCCGCTCTAATAAAACACATCTATTGTTTGGTTAAGTGTGTGATTAATGGTGATTTTTTGAAGTTTTAGCCACTATAATCAATTAAATGAATCACTCAAAGCCAAATCATCAATCGCGCCATGACTGCAACATGCCATGTCAACCTCGTACTTTACACGTGGTGCTTTCTAATTAGCCACCCGTAAATGAAGATGCTCAATCACTTAACCACATTGGCATTGTACTTTTAACTGTTAAAAGTGAATTACAGTCTCCAATGTAAATGAAATAAACTATGAAAATATTTAAAGAATCTTTCTGCGCCACCATTGTATGTAACCAAAGAATTCTTGTATGTAATATTCAACTCGTTGCAATGCTGTTTGTTTTCTCTCTCTCTCTCTCTCTCTCTCTCTCTGATTAAATAACCGACATGCCATTTGTTACTTTATACATCGCCCATGATTTCTTTATCCCCATCACATAAAGCAAATTACATACATAATTTATTACTGAACTTCCCCATCCTTCTTATTCTTTTTTTTTTTTTTTTGGTAATTTATACATTTATTTCACTTCCACATCAAATAACAAAACAACAAATCCCTATAAAATACCAAAACGAAAGACATGAACGTCCAATAGCAAGCGGAGGCACCGATGCGATTACATCATGAACAGTGCCATTATTATTATTATTTAATAAGAGGACGACAAGCATAACAGCTAAAGATTTAACTGCTAGTGCAGGGCGGCAACGGCGAGCCGCAGAGACACTTGTTATGAAAATAAGCGTCCACCCCAAACTTAGCCGTGATCGGCCCAGCCGGAATCTGACCGCAAAGCTGATTATAACTCACGTTAAACTGCGAAAAGAAATTCGCCTCCACCTGGTTTATCTGAGCTGGTATCGACCCTGAAATCTTATTATGATTCAGATCTAAACTCGTCAGATTCACCGGAAACGTAATACGGCTCAGATCAAACGCAAACTCATTCCTGCTCAAATCAATCACTTGCGTCGACTTCCCCGCGCCGAATAAAAACGAACCGTCACCGGTAAAACTGTTCCGGCTCAGATCTATTGTGCCCCATTCCGGCACGCCGAGCGAAACCGGTAAATTGCCGGAGAGGCTGTTGTGGTTCAAAATGAGATCCGGCGGGGAGGATTTGGGGAAATTGCCGAATTCGGATGGGATCGGTCCGGTGAGGCGGTTGCGGGAAAAATCAAGGCCGAGGAGAGAAGGAAGATTGGCAAGTTCAGCGGGGATTGAGCCGGAGAAAAGATTGAAGGAGAGGTTGATGATTGTGAGGGAGGGGATTTGGGAGAGGAAGGAAGGGATGGGGCCTGAGAGAGAGTTCCAGGAGAGGATGAGGACAGAGAGGCGGGTGAGACGGGTAATAGAGGAAGGGATGTTACCGGTGAGATTGGGGAGTTTGTGGAAGCGTAGACTGGTGAGGAAAGGGAGGTCGCCGACGGCAGAAGGGATGGGGCCGGTGACATTGGAGTCGGTAATGACGTAGAGGCCAGTGACGCGGGAGCCGTCGGAGTTGCCGGGGACGCCGGGATCGCATTCAACGCCGTACCAATCGCAGCAAGCAGAGGTGGAGGTCCAGGAGGCGAAGTGGTAGGCGTTGTTGAAGGCGGATTTGATGGAAATTAGGGCTCGTTTGTCTTCCTTGTTGCATTTGTCGGCAGCGATGAGAAGGGGAAGCAGGAGGAGGATCACGAAGCTGTGGGGCAAGCTTGCCATGTATGCTGCTCTGTTTTTGGATAGAATTATTGGCTTCAGTGATCACGAGAGGTTTTGTATTTATAGAGTCAGAAGCCTGTAGGGGGCGATTGTCCAGTACGCCACGTCGTCGGTGGGTCAATGGCGGCCGGGAGATTTGACTGGATCTGCGCACTGTTCTTATTTTTGAATAATGGGAATAAAATTATTCAAGGAATTTTCCCCAAAAAAAAAAATTATTCAAAGTAACTTTTATTTTAATTATTGAAAGTAAAAGAGAAGTTCTGTGTTGAATTGTCATTTGTCGGGCAGGTAAAGATTTTGATTAAACATAACGGTAAAAAATAGACAATTAAAAAAAGTAAAATTGTTGAAATTTTGACATATAGGATACCGAATTAAAAAGCTAAATTTTATAAAGGAACACTATTTATTTATAATTAAGTAAAAAATATAATTAAAAATTTCAAAATAAATTTTATTCTCATTTTTGGCAAGTTAAAAATAAATTTAATTTATATTTTCATCATAATTAAATCTTATAATTTTCTCTACTATAAATTAAGCATAGTGCTCAATCTTTGGGGAATAACTTAAATTTTTTTTTTAAACTGTGCAATTTGCATTAATCAATAAAAAGAAAGATACAAACTACTAAAGAACAAGAAGCCTATCATAATTCTTCCTAATCAACTAAACAAACGTTGATGGAAGTTCACTACCCAAAAAAAGGTCCCAATAGAAATCACCTAATATGACATGATGAGAACAAAAATTTGCTACTTTATTACACTTTCTATGAACAAAATGAAAAATATCATTCTTAAACATTTCAAGGAAAGAGAGATCCAATCTTTGCATCCAATTATTCCTGTCAAGAGACTTCTTCACCGAATTCTGAAGAAATTTTATGATATTCACATTATCTCCTATAATAATCCCATTATTAACCGACATGCAATCCTTTATAGAAATTTTGAAATCTAGTATAGCTGCCAATTCCAAGTAGGTAACATCCCAATGAATAACTTGCTTTCCATATGCACAAAGGAATCTACCTTTAAAATCTCTAAGAACACCTGCAATACTCGCCATATTGGACTTTGTCAAAGCAGCATCCATGTTTAGTTTGATCCAATCTTTAGGTGGGGACACCAAATATTTGACAGCTTTTGCTAATTGATATCATGTCTCTTTTCAATTGGAAACAAGTAAAAAAACAAATAGGATGAAAGAATTTCTGCAGCAGCAGTCAAAGCAGCAGGTGACGGCTTACCCTATTTACTCAAATTTTTGGCTTTCCAATTTTGATAGACCATAGAAATGTAAAATCTGGTAAGGTCTGACTTCACTCCAACTCCCTTCTTCAAGTCTTCATGGCATTGAGATTAACTTTGAAACTTAGGTACATTGATACCCTATTGTCTCAACATATCTAAAACTTCTGATAATTTAATACATTGAGTGGAAATATGCTCAAATTCTTCAATTCCATCACAACCTCTCGGACAGCAGAAATTATGTTGTAGCTTTCTCTTATGCAACCAATCGTTAGTAAGCAATGCATTGTTAAATAGTCTACACCAAAAAAATATTCCATATTAGAAATTTTCAATTTCTTATCCACTTCAAATCAATCAAGTTGTCTTGTTGGATAGGAGAAATAACTTCATAAGCCGAAGCATCAATCGACTTATCGGAATTGGAACGGATCAACTCTAAACCATCTTCTTGTTTATCAATAAAAGTAGGAGTATTCAATGTGAGTTTTATCATATCTTCAAAAAAATAAGTTTTCAAAAACCTTCATATCCTATTTTTCTCTCATCATCAAGAAGTGTAGATACCTTTTTATCTTAGAGCTCTGTCAGATTGCAAGTAGCAGGACAATTCTTTAAACATCAATCAAGCAACCAATTATCATTCATAATGTCAATATTATTACTGGAAGATACATTCCATCTAACAATCGACTTCAAAATTTGAACTCCATCTTTGATGATACGCCATGAATAAGATGCATTTCTTTTCAATTCTTCGTCCCAAACTCCAATTCTATATTTTGCCTTTAAAACTCTACCAACAAGTGATTTCTGATTTTGTATGAATTTCTACGCAAGATGAGACCTTAGAGGTGTTGAGAAAGTTGCTACTTAGTTTTGCATGTTTTACACAATTGCAACTTGTATATTTTTTATGATTTCAAATATTATTGTTTTGATTATTATTTTCTCCTAACATATTTTGTAATATTTTTTGCTCTTGTGTGTACTGACATATCAAGAAAATCATACTCCAGATTATTGAAGACTTTAAATCAAGATCTAGTTAGAATGTATTGTAAAATTGGAGTCTATATTTTTTCATTTTATTTGGCTCTAATAGAGTGTGATTGTAATTGAGTAACTTAGCACACACACATCAGGGGAGAGCTTTAAAATTCATAATTTTTAAAACAGATCGTACAGTACGAACCTTATTCGTACGGGACGATCTGGTCAGTTATACTCCCAAATGAGCAATGGAACAAACAGAGATTGGCAAAAATTTTTTCTAAGTATAGTTTGTCCAGACGATATTTATCATTCGTCCCAGGATGATGCTCTCTGGTTGCATTCGTTCAAACGATATTTATCGTTCATCCTAGGAAGATGCTCTATGGATGCATTTGTTCAGACGATATTTATCGTTCTTCCCAGAACGATGCTCTCTAGATAACTTCATCCAAATGATATTTATCATTCGTCTCAGCATGATGCTCTATGGATGTGTTTATCCAGACATATTTATCGTTCGTCCCAGGATGATGGACTCTAGATTTTCCAAAATGAACTATTTGTCTAGATAATATTTATGGTTTATCCCAGGATGATCTTCTTTATTCTAGAAACTTGGAATTCATCCTACTTTTTCATACCAACGAACTTTGAGAATAAATTTTTGTATCGGACGAACCATGTTCATACAAGATGATGATCAGGTATGAAGGCAGTTCATACCAGTTCACATTAAGTTCATATGCAATAGTTTTTACACTATTCGTACATACAAAATTGGATTGTACGAGATGATTGGGGACAGTCAGAAATTAAAAATTACAGTTTTTGGACAGTTTTTCATATCTTTTCTATAAAAGGTCCATTTTAAACTGACTTAAAATCTTTTTGTCACTTGATCTTCATGCATACTTAAGGGATTTTAAAAGAGAGTGAGATAGAGTGTTTGAAGGAGATTTTTTACTATTGGAGTATAAAGGATTCACTTGGTTACTCAAAGGTAAGGATATCTGTGTAATTTGTGATTACTTCACTTTTTCCTCTTATCTTTCTAGATTTCTCGTGAGAAGATCTTTCAAGAAGTTATAGTTCTCTATCGACACTTGAGGAGTATGAACAACCAAAGGTTCTCTGCCTACACTTGGAGAGTGTGAACAGTGGAAGGTACTCTGCCTACACTTAGAGAGAGTAAAAGGATAACGGTACTCTGCCTACACTTAGAGGGTATAAAAAGATGATGATTCTCTGCTGCACCGAATAGTGGTGGAAGAGAGTTTTTGTGAAGGCTTCTCCGCCTTACTGTGGGGGTAAAAGGAGAGACACTAGTGGTAACAGTGCAATACCTGAAGTGGGAGACTTCAGGGAGTTGATATATGTCGTGTTTGACTGAACCACTATAAATCTTGTGTCTTTTTATTTTTTGATATTTTTTATTTTTCTATTTTTTTATTATTTATGGTTGAAATATTATTTTTTAAAATTACTAAAAAATTTCATCATTTTAGACACTTAAAATTCCAGTTAACAAGAGATAAAATTTTAAATTGCCAATTCACACCCCCTCTTAATTAGCCATTGGGACATAATCTTAAATCTAACAATCTAACTCATATTTAATTAGTTTCAATAAGTGGTATAAGAACTTAGTTTCAAAACTATAAGTTTAGACTACTTTTTTATTAACGACCATGGAAACATTCAGAAATCGAAACACACTTGAAGGGTATTCGATCACCAGATCTCCTTTGTTTGATAATATTTCTTTTGATTTTTTGAAAACATGTATGTCTATATTTTTACAGTCACTTGATTATCGTATATGAATCTTAGTTAAAGAAGGGTATAAAAAACCAACTAGACTAGTTAATGACATTATAGTAGAAACACCCTTTGCGGATTAGATTATATAAGAACGTGACTTAGCACAATTTAATGCTAAATATTTAAATAGTTTTTTTTGTGCACTTAAGTCAGAGGACTATATGCGAGTTTCCACTTGCAAGAGTGAAAGGACATATGAGATAGACTCTTTATGAAGGGTCTAATGAAGTTAAACAATTTAGATTAAACATCTTGTTGCATGATTATGAATTATTTCGCATTAAACTAAATGAATCTATTTTTAACATGTACATAAGATTTACTCAGATAAACACTTCTTTGCATGCACTAGGTAAAGAATTAACAAATGTTGAAATGGTAAATAAGATTCTTTATTATTTGCCTACTGCTTATGATGCAAAAATTATTGATATATCAGATTCTAAAGATTTAAATGTTTGCTCTATTTATAATCTTCTTGGATCACTAATTGCTTACGAGCAAGGAATGAGTCAAAAAAAGATTGATGTAGGTGAACCACAAAGGGATAAGAATATAGTGGAGGAGTTGGAGAGTGATCTATCACAACCTGAGGATGAGAATGACATTGCATTGATGACTAGACAGTTCAGAAGTTTTCTGAAGAGGAAGCAAAAGAGACGCCAGCAATGGAATCGAGGCAAGTTCAGTAGGAATGTTAAGGTTTAAAATAATGTGATTTACTATGAGTGTAGGAAACATGGACACATTAAGTCAGATTGCCCAAAACTCAAAACCACTCCTAGCAAAGAAAAGGTAGAGGAGAAACCAATTATAAAAAAGGGCAAGAAGAAATTCCAAAGAGCTTTCTAGGTGGACTCAGCTTCAAACTCATTAGAGATTGAAAATAAAGAGGAAGTCACCAATCTATGCTTGATGGCCAATAAACTTGATCATTCAAATTAAGAAGAGGTAT